AAATTTCTAATCCGAGGCTGAAACAGGGTTTCTCAAAGTCAGTCATCCGTTCTGGAGTTTTACAACGAAATTTTCGAAGGATTTCGTCCTCGTCCGCCATCTTAATTTCAGGTTTAAAGGGACACAAGTGCGGTATCATTCGGGACCATTCGGGACAATGCCCGGTACAATACTTAGAGAATATTGGAACGGCAATAGAGCATTTTGATTGGTTTATTTTAGTTATTGACCATCTGACTGCCTGAGTCGTGTAATAAATGAATTTAAACAGAGCGCGCGCTTAACAGTAAACATAAACAGTGCATGTGTTAATCTTAACAATTAATTACGATTAAATGATCATCTAGTGGAACATATTCTCCTGCAGGTATTTCACTGTTGTGTGGTTCCCTCCCAGAGATTTGACGTTTGGGTATCTCAATCAGGTGAGCCTGGAGCAGAAGTATATTTCTCTAAAAAGTTTGCAAATCTAAATTTCACATTAGCCAACATTAAGCAGATCCCTCGTTTAAGTATCTCTAGTCTAACGAGTACAAAGACTCATCCAGCTACATTTGAGGAGCGAGGTTATACTACCTGTATTCATTTTTAGTCTGCAAAGAGCTTTTAATGTTTCTACAGAGGTTTTGAGATTGGCTTTTAGAATGGCAGCCCAATGTGGGAGTTTAGGAAAACTGATTTTCCCTTTCGGCGAAGAAACCGGATTAATCAGTTATACAGCACTTTCAAAACCGTTTCAGACAGGTAAAACTTGCAATACCATAGAATATTCAGTAGTATATTAAGTAGTATGTCAACTAATACAGTACAGAGTTATATCATATATCGATGTCGACAAGTCAACGCGCCTGGGGAGAAAATTTAACGCATACACCAAAAAAGTTAATCTTCAGTTACTGAAATAGAATAACTGGCTTTTTAATTAACTTGAAACCTTTTAATTTTTCATTTATGTATCCTTTAAGAGTTTTTCAAACAAGTGGTAGACACTAGTCTTCTAAGCTCGAGGAAACGTCAACCCACATAGATGATCTATGACTTTACGTGCTTAGGGACCGGTCAAAATTTATTCGGAGGATTTTGGTTTCATCACGATAAAAATTTATCAGATCCCTCCACAAGGCTCTGCAATAATTTACTGATGCCTCTCTTCTAAGCGTTTAATTGGCAGTCAATTTTCCATAATCTTCCCTTTACACTCTGTTGGTGACGACTAATCCTCCGTTCTCCCTAAAAACCACGTGTTCCCCCAAAGTATTCTTCCCCCTCAATAGATAATGACTGTTCCTTTAAGGCACAATAAAAGATCCAAACAACTAGATCTGAATAACTCTATTGTAGGCAAAGAACGCATCTCAAATGGGACGAAATTCTATTCATGAACAATTTGGTTAGAAAGATAGGGTTCTGAGAATCGGCCAAAACTATTCATCCTGATGTAAAGTCGAGTCTCTCCTTTCTTTACGCTCCACTTCTTGCTTTCTCGAATATTTATGACAAAACTTAAATTGAAAATTAAAGGAGCAACAGGAATCGAGGTAAACAAACTTCAATATCTGTTTTACACTAAAATAATATTCCTAGTTGAAAGAACATTTAGAGGATGAATTAATTACGTAGATCGTCGGCTTTGAGTTTTCAATGAACGAAGTCGTGTCCTGTAGAATTTACGAAAGGATAATATGAGCTGTCTGAGGATCTTGTTTGGTTTTATATTATTAAAAAACACCAGTTTTCTCTTTTATAGGTTTTACACGTGAAAGCAATGGATATTTTATTTACTGACTTGTATCGCTTTATTCTGCCGTTCTATCTACTAACTTCTGAACCGTGCCTACGTTCTTCTACTACAGTAAGCCATAAGGTACATGCCTATAATTCGCTATTGGTAAGCATGGATGGGCATGCTAGCTGACTGACCTTGGGAGAGTAAACATATGTTGTTAGAACACTAACCCGAGCAATTTTACCACAATATCACAAATGAACGACGTTGCCGTTCAAATGAATTTACCTCTGACCGCGTAAACCAAAGCAAAAACCTTTGAGTGGGTCCAAAGCATTCATACATGCACACATAATACATAGATTAGTTGACCATTCCTACAACAATGTGTGAGGGACTTTATCAGACCGCTTGTAGCAGTTTATAATGAATAAAGGCAAATCTAACAGGTGCCTCCAATTCCCTGTAAACAGGCCAGACCACAACACCGGAAGCTACGTTCCCTACTCTTTTCGATAAATGCGTGGTTTCTTTAACGTCCCCTGCTAACCAGCGCAAGGAAGATGCAGGAAACGGGGCCTACGGCTTGTCGTCCTTATCCGAGAAGACTGAATGTCTAACTATTTGCAGATATCATAGCAAAGGCAGCATATTCAGTTATTTTAAGACTCTGAGTGTTGTTCCGGTCTGGGGCTTGAACCCTCTACCTCTGGCATGGCAGTCCGGCGCTCTACAAAGTGAGCTAACCGAGCGGCAGTTAGACAAACTAAGCACGGCCACCTTAGGAAGTTAAACAAAACGGTTCGAAACTCATCGCTTTAGCGTAGACCTAAATAATTTCGGACTTTGAATTCATAGTTATAGTAGCTACATTTTAAAGAAAAATTCATTGCTCGACGAGGGAATTCCGCGTAAAATTACATACGAAAACCGATACCACACGAATCGCGAGGTGATGAGTGCGATGTCGGTTTTCAAGTGCAATTTATAATGGTAATTGAACTGAGTGGAGCGCAATTTGGGCTGAAATCATACGCGTGATTTCAAAATCGAACGAGCCCGCAGCGCGAATTCGGTTTGATATCACAAGTATGATTTTAGACCAAAATTTGCACGACATGAGGTTTAATTACCACTTTATTACATCCATTTTGAAATCACCCAAATACAGGACTTGGCCAATTCAAATATTTTACTGATGCAGTACTGAGCCAGTTTTTAAATACAAAGCAGAAACGGAAACACTTTTACATCTTATTAATTTTTGTATGCAAAACAGAAAGACTTTTGACGTCATGTGTCAAAAACTCAGTCAAGCGTAAAATGATGCGATTTAGAGCAAAAACTGGTGATTTAGAGCAAAAACTTTTTTTTGGTGAATATATCACACCAATTAGAGCCAATCAGATTACATGGACCACCTGTGATTTCAAAATGGATGTAATAAAAAGCAGAATTCACGAGTCAGGTAATGAATTTTCCTTGAATCGCATAAGTGAATAAAAACAACTTATAAGTATTATTTAAGACGCTGAAAGATTGAATCGTATTTGTTTTCTCTTCCTTACTATTTTAATCGCTATAGATTGTTTGATTAATTACAGAAATTACCTTGAAACTGACATAAAACGAATTGTATGCAGACTGAAAAGAAGTGAACTCTGCAAAAGCAGTGCTTGTCGTTCTTCTTATAAGGATATCTGCTGCTCGTTCAAAACTACAGTAAGAGTGCACTGTGACTTCGACAAATGATCCTGAAAACGGGAAACTGTAATGATACCTCTTCTTGCTTGTTTAAGGTGGATTGAGAGCCATTCCTCTTGTCTCGGTTTTCCGGGCCAGAAGACGAAGTTGACCTAATTCTTAGCCAAGCAACCATATGTTCTCCTCCTGTTAACATACATAACATGACAATTTGTCCCTCGCCTAGTGCAAAGCTTGTTTTGGGGTAGACGAGAGGCTCTAAGTTCGAGGTGCCGAGTTCCTTTTGATATATCAATCCATGCTCAATAATATATCGCCAAATAAAGCATTGATTGGCTTTGGACTTCGATAAGAAGTAGTCATTCACTTTTTAAAGTTATCATCTTGGAAGGAAATATTAAGGAGATAGGCAAAACATGGGTTTGTTTACTTTCTTTTCTCTTGTTAAATCTAGATGTCAGTCTTTTTCCAACG